GGATTAACAGTTACCTGCCGGAAGATAGATATCCTTCCAGTCTTTTCCCTTTCGATCAAGAGCTGTAGGGACAATCCAGTTTCGATCTAACGTATCAAAATCGATCAGTCCTAAGTTTTTTCATGGTTAAGTATACTTACTACATACTCTCTCTCGAGGCATTAAAAAATATATATATCTGCGTAATTTTAAGAAAAAAAAAGGAAGAAATCAAGGATTAAATATGCTTACTGGGGATGTTGAAATAAAGATTAGTGAAAATCAATGTTATTGGTTATTGAAATGTGGAACTCTCATAGTTGATGGGTATGCATACGAAAAATGCACTGATAGAACTTTAGAAAAAGGAGAAAAAACAGCTTTTTTCATGTCATTTTCCAAAAAAAACCCATCTCTTTTAAAAATGTTTGGTATGAAATTCTACAAAGATCTAGAAAGAAGAGGCTAAAATGCAACTCATCATTTAAAAAAATGCCATACTTATCTTCCAGCTATAAGGAAATTTGAAACTTTTTTAACCAAAAATAAATATGATGAACTAGAGACAGTTGCAAAAGAAATAATAATGGACAAACAGGAAGAAGATAGAAATTACCTACAGCAAAAAAAATTTAAATAATGGTTGAAATTGATTAAGGAGGAAATTTTCGTCTACTAGGAATAATAATTTTGTAAAGAAACACATTTGTTCTAGCTTTGTTGCGAGATTTTCACAACCTTCACGAAACATTCGAATAGCTCGTTTAGTGTTAATTCTATCATATCGCCATGGCTTCCAATAATTCCATAACGGGCGATCATAGTTTGGATCACGATACTTCCTCCAATAATCTGGGTTCAACCAGTCAATATACCACTTATAACGGTACCTGGAAGCAGCAAAAAAGTTGAGCTTTTCATTGTAATCTCAGCCAAAATGATCTTGGGTCAAATAGTTTGGAAATGTTTAGATGATCAACTGTAATTGACAGATATGTTTACCAACCAAAAGCTGGGATAGCCAAGCGATAGTGGATCAGGAATTGGGTCGGTAACTAGGTAGCGTCGGGCAGTAAATCTGTAGTCTGGCCAATAGACATACGGATAAAAGTACATCCTGTCATACCAATAGTCATCAAACTTAAAACATTCACTCAGTTATCGTTAGATTATCCTTCTCAAGAATGCGTTACAGCTACATGGCGATCGTTTGTCAGTGTGCAGTAGGGAACTGTTAGGGGTAAAATATCAGGTTTGCTAAGACTAAACGCTTAAAAGAGAATGATAGGAGTATTTGCAGCGTATGAAATTTTTTCTCTGCAATATTCGTCTGTCAACAATTTTTCATATCAGTTTAGTTTTACATAAAGAACAAGTTTTAAAGTAAAAATTCCAGAGGATGGATGTGAATCGCTCCAGTTTAATTTAGCTGTTTATTTGATTTCATACTTTTTTGTCATTTTACGGAACTAAAGTGTCAGCTAAAATGTTTTTTAAAAACTAATATAATATAGCTTTTTTAACGTTTAAGCGTTTGCATAGATAAAAACAGTGACTAAACAATATATCAATTGAAATCCTGAAGGTTAGTGAATAGTTTTCACTGCTATCCTTTTAGATTGGCTTATAGCTAGTAAAGTAAGCTTTTGTCAACGTCATAGTATTGGACACTTACTGAATTCCAATCTCGTCGATATTTGTATAATGTCGAAGATTGTAATGAATCACTTCTGTGCAGCATATTTACACTCGGTGTGGAGCTTACCCTAAAATAAAAAAGAGTTTAATAGAAAAGTAGGAATGTACAAACAGAACCGGATTAATGACAGGATAAATTGCCATTTGTTTAAAATTTAATGCAGTAAATTTGATTTTAGAAAGACCGGTATTTTTTATAGCTATAATGGATTAGGGTTTGTTAGGCAATAACCTGGTAAGAGTTGGTACAATTTCCGTTTGTTCTAGACGTGTTTGGGGTATTGATATGGATGATCTAGCCTTATTTATCGGATAAATGGTCATTTTGGCTAAAAGAACACCAACTGTATATAAAATGAATACCAGAATATGATAACGAAAAGTTGTGTACAAGTTAAATATAATATTCGTCAATTAACGATGCTAAAATTCTTTTGCTACATTCAATCTATGATTCTTTTTTTTTTTTTTTTTTTTTT